CATCTTAAGTGATCACAAAGAATAAAATGGATAAAAATTATATATATTAAATGCTTCTCTATTATTGCTTTATAAGTTCTTCAAGTTGAAAGCAATTTAAAGGGGAAGCAGTGTACCATTCCTGTCACTGCTCTTTTGGACTCTATAAAGAGCAGAGTCACAAAACACCTTGACTTTTACCAGTGAGGTTGTGTTTAGCTCGTATAAATCAACTGGCATAATTTTACATAAACAAGATTAGATTTTTTTTATTTTTATTTTCAAACTGCGAATGTGATTTTCATCCTTGTCAGAAAAAAATAAGATGGACTGAGATAAAGGACAATAGAGAAAACTGAACTTTGAAAAACTTTGAAAGCCATCCAAGATGTATGGGCTTAAAAAATGGTAATTGATTTAATAAAAAGTGCAGTTTTCTGTTTATCATGGCTCTCTCTTGCGAAGACAAAATAGTCCTCAGATAATGCATAAGCATTTCGGAGGCTACATGAATAAAAATATTGAATTTCATATTTTCTGACCGTGATATGGGTTCTTTTTCTCCTTGCATGACTTTAGCCAAGAAACCTGTTTCATGTCAACAACTTTACTTGAAATTTTTATTCATAGACTTTGATTCACAATAGTTTATTCTGTTTTATTCACTTTGCCTGGGCGAATCCCTATTAGTTTTGTCACACATCCCAAAACAATAAGTCATTACCAGAGTCCGTTTGGCTATGGCTCATGACTTCTGCAGTATTTCTGATCCCCACAGGCTTCTTTTGCAGTTATTCTACCCGAATTTTTAAAAAAAGCAGACTTTAAAGGCTGCATTGATAAACAATGCCAGGTGGTGCTGACGAAGCATCTGCACCCAAGTCATTAGAGAGAACAAGTACAAACATACAAGAAGTTATGCCATCCTGGAAAGCGGCATTGCTCAGAAATGGAGAGCCTKTCGAATCAATGTTTCATACAAAGAAGTAACTCACATACCTAGAAATGCACACGAGAGACACATAATTGTGCACATGTGCCTGTGCAGCTTCTCCTCTCAGAAACTTGATTTCCCCACTGACCAATGCAGCATTCAAAGCACCAYATATGAATGTGCGCTCTGAGTGCACATCTCCACCTGTCGAAAGCTGAGATGGGTGAGCTGGGAGTATTAGCCATGCCTTTCCTCGCTCACTCCTGCTTTTATTCTCCCCCATGAATCACGCCAAGCATACATTGATTCTTAAACCAATTACTGATATCTCTGTCTTTCTCGTTCTCACACATAGWCTTAGGGTTTCCTCTCTTCTTACAGTTTATTTATTTTTTTGCTCTCTCTCAGGTAAACCAGTATCCTATACAGAATATTTCAGCCTGAACAGAACCACAGCAGACCTCCTGCTCTTAAAGCCCATTGACAGAGAACTCTACCGCAGATTTGATCTGGTTATCAAGGTAAGCTTAACGCCATCTGCACATAGGACTAATTAAGATGCTGAGCAGCGAGCTTTTGGGCTTGGATAAACAGTAAATGTTCCTCTTTAGATTATTGACTTGGAATTAAAATTGATCTGCCACGAACATTTAAACAGTGGTAATTGTAAAGCATCAGAACTAACCTGCTCTGAGAGTTCCTGTTTTTGTCAGCAATTGAAAAAGRCTGTGCCAAAGATCAATCAGGATGAGCTCAGCCGAAAATCAAAGTAATATTCACTCTAGGATGCTTGTGTTGGAGTCAGAGATGGATTTAGTTCTTTGCATGTTAAAGAATAAGACATGTTTTAAATCWTTGTATAATTGAGGGATAAAGGAGCTTATGGATGGTACCTGAACTAATGACTTCAGAGTCACACACACTTCTTTTCTACTCATGCACAAACCTGAATTCTTATTTTTCTCACAGGGTGGTATAGTTTTGTTCACAACATCAAATCCCTGGAATTCACATGTACCCATTACTTTACAGGCTTAATATGACCTCTCACTTTTTTTTCTTTTATGTATCTTTCTTTATTCTTCTCACCCCTCCAGTATTGAGCTGCAGTAATGTGCAAATTTCCCCATGGTGGGATCAATAAAGTTTTATCTTATCTTATCTTATCTTATCTTATCTTACCTTACCTTACCTTACCTTACCTTACCTTACCTTACC